AGGGATCGGTACCTTATGATGAGAAATTTTGTGTAATTACACCCGAGAGGAAAATATTTGTCAAGTAGAAGGATTCGGGGATCAATTGCAATACCATGCACCATAAAAGACAGAACTTTCAAGAGAGTTCTGGTTGATTTTGGCTCTAGTGTGAGTTTAATTCCATTAGCGATTTTCAAGAAGCTTGGTATTGAGAAGATAAGCGGGGGTGGGACAAAATTGAAATTTTTATCACACCATCAAGCAGTCATATGGGATATCTAAAGATGTATTAGTATAAATTGACAATTTTTTTCCCAATTGATTTTCATATCATGGACATACCTGAAGATGAAGAGACTCCTATCATTCTTGATTAACCATTTATGCTAACTAGTCGATGCAATTTTGATATCGAGACAAGTAATCTGACACTGAAATTATTTTATGAGGAGATAACTTTGAAGGTGTTGGAGATTAAAAAATAGGGTGCGGGTGAAAAGAATCAAGTTTCAGCTGGTATGATCAAATTAGTATGAGATAACATAAGTATAAAATCACCCCCAGAGAAAGTCTCCATCATAAGCTCTCAGGTGGCATCAACAAAAATTTATAAGTTTAGTCAGGAAGTCAAGAAGAGAAATAAAAGGAAACTCAAAAGTGAGAAGACGGAAGTGGGAAGGGACTGGAAGCAAAAAATGGTCAATGCTTTTGATCTAGATGAGTTTTAGGTTTCAGAAAGGACAAGCAACAAGGTGTGGAAGAGGAAGTACCCCCATAAGAGGATGAATCGTCGAGTCATGCGACGTCAAACGAAGCGCTTCATGGGAGGCAACCCACGTCTTTAATAACTTAGTTTTTGTTCTTGTGTTTGTTTCATTTTGTCTACAGGTAATAAAAAGGAAGTCTTACTGGTGAAAGCTAGAAGGCAGTAGCTGGTGTTGCATTATCCTCTATGAGTCACCTTCTCGAGCTTGTTCTGAAACATTGGGATCAATGTTTAGTTCAAGTTTGGGGGGTACTGCTTTTATTTTCGATTTATTTTGTTGGATATTTGCTAATTGCGGTGTAAACCCACGAGTTGAAGTCTCCTTCCCAAATTTGACCGAATTTATGCGTTGGTTGTGTATTTTGTTGTTTTTCAGGCTCTGAGGAATAATACCAGGAAAATCAGTATGAAAAGTGTAAATTTGGAGTTTAAAGGAAGTCACATAAATCAAGCTACAAGGTGCCTGACACGGCCACCCGTGTCACCTGACACAGGTTGTGTCAGGAGAGGATGCACAACTGTAATTTGGGAGAAGAAGCTGAGGTTGACACGGGTGCCAGTGTCAGCTGACACGGCCTGTGTTAGAAGGTCTGAGCGAGATGTTTTGTTGGAGCATTGGACAGTGGCCGACACGGATTCCAATATCAGGTGACACGGCCCGTGTTGGCCAGGACGCTGATTTTGAGTGTTTTTATGATTTGGGGCCCAGAGGGACATTTTGGGTATTTCTGACCAAGACAAATAGATTGTGTAATATTTAGATGAGTTTTGAAGAAGAATTAGGGAATTTTTTTGCAGCGAAAAATAGTTTACACGACTGAAAATTAGAGAGATCAAGATTCTTGGAAAGTGGAAGATTCTCATGAGCGAAAGCAATTGAAGATTCGAATCTATCCAATTACTTGTAATGTCTAATCTTTATCTTGTGATTATTTTGAACAATATGAGTAGTTAAATCCCCCAATGCTAGGGGGTGTCCCTGATTTGACTATGTAAACGATTTTTATTCCTGAATTTCTTTAATGCAATAGTCTTCTCTATTCAATTTAATTGTACAATGTTTTTCCTGCTTTCTTGATCGGACAAATTAGAATTGATTTACGATTAACAACCAACTGGACCGCGCTTGTTAAGATTTTTGTACAATTAGACTATAGTAGATATCACCTAGGACTAGGGATAGCCTATAGTTACCGGATTTAACCCTTGATAAAATAAAGGCTTGACTCCATCAGAAATCTCAAATGACTTAAGATTTAGGATGAAGGTTCAAAGGTTTTCCCACTAAGGACTTAGGGGAAGATAACCTAAAGGGCTGGTAATTGAAGAATATGAACTTGTTGAAGAGATCAGAATTCAAGATAGTTACAGGGCAAATTATACACCTTACCCTAGCATGCTCTTCATATTTGTGAAAAAGTTATTTTATATTTCTGCCTTTTGTTAAGTGACAATATCAAAACCAAAATCCAAAATTAAATTTTTGTTTAATTGAACTACGGATTTAACTCAATAATTACACACAAACCTTGAAATCGATATCTTGGGAATTTCTGATTATTAATGCAAGGTAAAAATCGTACACTTGCTATTTTTTCCATCAGTTGTCTTGACTAAGGTTAAGTTTTAAATCGAAAGATACCTAACTGTATTAACACTCTTTATACTTCATTTTCTAGAGTTAGACTTGTCATTATTAGAACAAGTGGGGGATTATTGTAAATTATTAACAATAATTAATAATCACGGGTGTGTTTAAAAATGAAAAGAAAAATATACGAGTGAAGTTGTTCTTTGAATTCGAAAAGGCAACACTTCATGAAGTGTTGCAGAATAAAAATATACAACTCTTGTAATATGTTGTTGTAAACCAAACGTTGTAACTTTTGGTAAAAGGATATTGTTTCATCAAGGGTCGCTACCTTGTGAAACAATGAGAATATGGCATATAAATATATCATTCTCGATTCAGAAATCATGTAACAAAATATATACATCTTCTTCACTAAATTTCAGACACTTTTCACTAAATTCGAATTTCCGTCGGTCTTACGCAAAAGGCTGAATTATCTTAGATATTTTTTCGTTCCAACTCTAAGACGTATTTGAGAGTGCTTGAAATACTTATAAGAAAAGTGATTTCGTTCACGATTTAATCTCGATCCATTTAACATGAATTAAATTTTTAATATATATATATATATATAAATTTTTAATATATATATATATATATATATATATATATATATATATATATATATATATATATATATATATATATATATATATATATATATATATATATATATATATATATATATATATATATATATATATATATATATATATATATATATATATATATATATATATATATATATATATGAGAGATTTATTTTTTAGATGCGTCTATTATATTTTATAAGACAGATAATATAAATTGCGGACGAAGTTGAGCTATTCCACTAAGACCTAAGCCGTCCAACCACTCATGATGAGTTTTAATAATCATGTCAAGTGTTTAACAATTCAAAAAATTACATTGAAATGTCCTAAGAAATATTCTAATGTATTTTTATGTTGTCCACAACATTCATAGGAAAAACAAAAAACAGAGGAAAAGAACTGGCCTTAATTCTCAATTGTCAATTTATGAACATGAGTGTTTATAATAACAGATCAACAATCATTGTTCATCTTTCGTTGTCATGGTGGAAAGTATAATGCTCGATAACCATATTTATTGCCACCCTTATCATCATCATCATCGTCATAATTTAAATATGTAATCATTTTTGTTCCTTTGGTTACCTTGAAAATGAGGATACAAACTTTTTTCAATAGATAATGGAGTTTACTTTGATACTTTTTATTTTAAAAGATTGTATTATTTTAAGAGGATTAACTTTTTGAATTTTTTAATTTTTTTTTGAAATTTTGATATTCTGAAAGAATTCATCTCACTTTCACTTGTGAAAGTCACTAAAGTAAAATTCTATATGAATAAGGAGGGCCAACACAAAAATTATTTGTATTTAATGATTCAAACCTTAAATCTTTAAAAAAAACACACGATTTAAGTCTTAAAAAAAGTTGTCATACAATTTATTATATTGCCTTTTATTTTTGCCTAATTTATTTTATGTATAATGAAAATTAAATATATTTAAATATATATAATAGTTGTGTTGGTTTTAATAATGAAAACAAATATTTATTGAAATATTTATTAATTATAATAAGTCGAATAGATAGGTGAATTAAAATATGATAATAAAAATATGTTAATAAAAATTAATAATTTATTTGTATTATAAAGTGAAATTATTTTATGTTCGCTATATTATAAATGAAACACATAAAATAATGAAATGGATGAAGTAATGAAATTAAACTAGCATTTTGTTTGTTGAAACAGTTAAGTCTAGAAAATTGTTTTTAAAATTGTAAAATGTTGATTTAGACCCAATAACCAAATCATGAAAATCCATGTTTAAAAAAATAAATTTATAAAACTTAATACTACCATAAGTTTAAAGATTTTAAATTTGTCTTGATGTAATAATAGACTTTTCAAGAAAGTTATAGATTTTTATTCATTTTAATATGAAGTTTTATTAATAAATATATATATAGAGTGGTAGAAAGTTTAAGTGAGTTAGGTTTCGGAGGCTCATTAGAGTCGAGATAGGTTTCAAGATTTAATTATAAAGATATTTATAGAATTTACGATCTCTCTATGTGTGAGTCAACTCTTTATCAATTGAATTAATCTTTAATTTAGAAGATAAATTGTCATTTAAAAAAATTAAGAGAACAAATTATAAATTTTTTGCAATTTTAAAGGCTAAAATGTTGATTTACTTCAATATTCCCTTATTGCATGTTTTTTTTTTCATTGATTAATTGATTACTAGTTAATTTAGTTGTCATTATGCTCATAATGAATAAAATATGTATAAGAATCCTATATCTTTTAAAACAAAGAAAAGGGTTGGAGTGGTTAGTTAGGTCCTAACATTTTAATCAAGCATTATCTAACAACTCATGTCATGTAGGTCCATGGACGGTGCCATAACAATATAGAATAGCCAACCCTTTCAGAATTACATCCATTTTATTTCTCTAAACTTTTCATATATATACACCATTGCAAAGATTTCTTATGCAAGGCATCATCAATTAATAGCTTATTGATTTTATAGGTTCAAAACACCTTAGTCTTTGGTTAAGTTTCTAGTTCCTTCCCAAAATGGTGAAGATAGGTTTTGGTACCTTTGATGACTCTTTTAGCATTGCCTCACTTAAGGCTTATCTATCAGAGTTCATTGCCACTTTGATTTTTGTCTTTGCTGGAGTTGGATCAGCCATTGCTTACGGTAAGTACTGCTCAAATGTAACTATATTTTTTTAAAGAAGTGTGACTAGTTAAATAATTTGAATTATATATATTTAGTCTAGTAGTCAAATGCCGAAATTTCACCATTTAAAAATGAACAAGTTAGATATCACGAGTTCAAACTCGCGTCTGTGCAGTTAAATGTCTTTGCACAATCAACTGTGTTAGCTTAACGAGACTCTTTGAAGTAAATATTGTGCAAGGAATGATGAAATTAATGTGATTGTTTTTGTATTATGCAGATGAGCTAACATCAGATGCAGCTTTGGATCCAACTGGCCTAGTGGCAGTAGCTGTGGCTCATGCATTTGCACTATTTGTTGGGGTGTCTATAGCAGCCAACATCTCAGGTGGACATTTGAACCCTGCTGTCACTTTTGGTTTAGCTATTGGTGGCAACATCACCATCCTAACTGGTTTCTTCTATTGGATCGCCCAATTACTCGGCTCAATAGTCGCATCTCTTCTTCTCAACTATGTCACCGCTAAGGTATTTTCAATTCAAAATATTAGTCTCTACAGTTACACGCAGAAAATGTCATCTGCATATATATTTTGTTTTCTTATATTAATATTTTATTGGATGTATATTTGCAGAGTGTTCCAACACATGGTGTTGCTGCTGGATTGAACCCTATTGCAGGACTAGTGTTTGAGATTATAATAACATTTGGATTGGTTTACACGGTTTACGCGACAGCAGCTGACCCAAAAAAGGGTTCAATAGGCACCATTGCACCAATCGCCATTGGGTTTGTTGTGGGTGCCAACATCTTAGTGGCCGGTCCATTCAGTGGCGGGTCAATGAACCCGGCTCGCTCGTTCGGTCCAGCTGTTGTTAATGGAAACTTTGCGGACAACTGGATCTACTGGGCTGGTCCATTGATAGGAGGAGGCTTGGCTGGGTTGATTTATGGTGACATCTTTATTGGTTCATATGCTCCAGCACCAGCAACTGAAACATATCCTTGAAAATGAACCATTGTTGCTGAGGGCCCTTTGTCCCAACCTTAAACTTTGTTCACTGTTTGCATGATTTCTTGAACCTTTTCTTTCAAAAATGAAAATTGTAACTTTTGTTCTCTACTCACTGCTTGTAATAATTTGTAAATTATAATGGTATGAATGAAGTTCTCTTTGTTTTGATCTTAAAAATGATCCAAATATTATCTCTAGCATCCTTCTTCACCTTCTCTTCCAACTCATTAGGTGCAAGCTTACTTTCCTCGCTCTCATTATCCCTGTTGCCTTTCTCTCTCTTAGCATCTCTATCATCCCAACACAAAAGGCTTAACCACATCTTTATCTTAGTTACAGTCAATCACCTTTTCTTTTCCAAAGTTCAAGTGTGGTTGCAGAAGGCTTTATAACCGTCTAATGCATATGAATTATACAGAAAATTCCAAATGCTTTACAAAATTAATTTTATCTCTTAAAGGATACTTTTGAAAATAGGCCAATCAATTTAGCTTAGATTATTTGGATGGATGTTAATATTAAATTGAATAAATTGAAATAGTAAGCAACAAGTTGCTATTACTCTTTTCTCAATGGTTAAACGGCGCAATTTCTTTTTGGATGGTTAAATAGATCCTCTTAAAAATGGTGCATTTGTATTCTCTGTAAAAGATTCACTGCTTCTAATATTAGAAAATTAAAAGTATCAAAGACAAATGGTATGAAAGCATATTGATGGTCGGAACACATTTTCTCATGTTTGATCAATTTATTTAAAGCGGCTATGAGAGTTGTATGTCCTACAAAAAAACCTCAAATTCTCAATTCCACTAATGGAGAAACTTCAGCCAAATCTACACATGCATGTTTCTTTCCTACCTATCCTTACATCAGAACACTTGATCAGCTTTATCATCATTGTTATTCAAACTTACCTCTTGTGTTTTCGACCAAACAACTTGAAAATTTCCGTTTACTATTTTCACTTACATCGCACAACGTACCTTGTTCTAAATTCACAATTTTCGTGGAGACGAGTTTATTTTTATTACTTCGTTAATAATGTTAATACACTTGCCAGTAAATTGTCTGTCAAGTTTTTGAGTCGTTGTCGGGGATTGTTGATATTTTTGACAAGGCAATAGTGTGTGACGCTCGAAAATTTTGTATTTAGCTATTTTTAGTTTTTGAATTTTTGTAAATAATTTTCCTTCTTTTCATTTTAGTTTAATTTCCACATTTTTATTCTTATTTAGTTTTATCATCAGTTAGTGCAGTGTTACTAAGGTATTTGTCTTTTGATTGTATGTGTTGTGTAAAGAAGGAATGTACAATGGAGTGGATCTTCGACATGTGATGATAGTACAGATTGAAACCTTAAAAAAACAAATTGTGGCCTCGACTCTGAGTTCTACAATTCAAAATCTCTTCGGAGTGTTATGATGTGACTTCTTGGTGAAGGTCACCAAAATGGTTGCTATGCACCAGAGACTTATGTTGCAGAGACACAGGTATGCGAGAAACCATCATGAGTCAAACCCTTCCTTCAATACTTATCCAAGGTGGGATAAGCATTCGAGTTATAACTAGGACAATAATACATTCAAATTTTCAGCCCAGAAGCGCATCAAGATCCACCACTAAGAATATCATCCCAATTAGAAGAAGTCTTGGTAAGATTTATGCAAGCCACTCAAGTGGGTTTTAATAGAGTAAAGAAGAATCATGAAAAGATGATAAAGAACCAGCTGACAATGAACAAGAACAACAAGACCTCTATTAAGAATTTAGAGTTGTAAATCGGTCAGCTGTTGCGATAAATGGCACCTCAGGCTAGTTCGAGTGGGGGATTTATCAATAATACAGTGGATAATCCAAAGAACAGGAATCATAGCTCCATTGTGTTGAGAAATGGAGTGGAAAAGAAGACATAATGCATACAACTGGATGAAATGACTGAATCAGAAATAGAAAATATGAGGTGAAGAATAGCTTTGGGGAAAAAACAAGATGACCAAGGCATGATGGTCTAATTATGGATTAAGTTTCGAAGGCAAAAATTTGCTTAGACATAGAAATTCAACCAGAACACCTTCAACCACAGCATGTCCTCAGAAGTTATTTTGGCAACAAAGCAGATGGAATCAAAAATTTGATAAAGTATTGAACTTCATCTATGCTTTGTTCACTATTATTTAGCCGAAGAACATTTAGGAATCGCATCGTTGATTCCTCAAGTTCATGAGAGTTCTATCAAACAAGAGGAAGAAGAAGGATGATGTGTTCTTCGTATCATATATGCCGCTCTAATAGAGAAGCAAACGGTCAAGCTAAGGACCTTAAATAAGCGTTAAGTGTGAGGCAACCTACAGTTGGGTAACATATTTTATTTTCAGCCAAGTTAATTTCATTTCAGTCAATTTTAAATTTTTAGCATGTTTTGAGTTTTAAGTGTTTCGGTATTTTTTATGTGTGTGCTAAATGTGTATAAAATTGAAAGGAAAGTGGAAGCAACAAGTAGAATCGCTTTGTGACTTCTGTAACATCCTTATAAATTTCAAGGAATATTCACAATTATTTAAATAAATAAATCAGAGTATATCACCAACAAGAGTGTCACGTCTTCATAAAAAACATCATAACGACATATCCTGCTCTGTAACACAGGTTTTCAAAAATCTTTAACAAGATAGAATCAGCATTTAGTTCTTCGAATTATGGCAGCGAAAATCATAATTGAAAACATCTCATTATAGTACTTCATAAAATATGTCATACTTCATAACTCATACTTATAAATTAAAACATCTCGAGTACCATGTAGGGTGACTCAATATCTTAAAACAAAATAAAGAACATAAGTTCCAATTATTCGATCTCAACCCCAATGTTATATATCAAAGCAAGGTTCCCTTTATTCAACATAAGCAAATAAATACACTCCGAAGCTATCCTCTAATACTTCTACAAAATAATCTCGATCACCTGCGCGTTACTCATGTGGAGGCAACATTCAAACAAAAAGGGTGAGTAAATCATAATTATTATATAATATATAAGATAATCAAGGCATCACACATTATCACATCTTCGTGTTGTACTCACACCTTCACCATTTTATCAATGCACGAACACATATCATCTTCCACAATGTATTACCAAGCATCACAAATAAATCATTAGGTGATTTCACATGGAATGCAATGCAACATCATAGACTCATGCATGTGGTACCAAAACTTTACGAATGACTCAATAATCATTATCTCCAAAGATCTCCACCATAGGATCGATTCCCGCTTAGAACCAGAGGACTTCACTATTACACCCAATCCACACTATGGGATTGATTCCTTCACTGGAAATTCTCCATTTCATCTTCACTGGACTGAAGTTCTAACTTCACTGGACCGAAGTCCTAACATATGTCATGAATGCAATGATGCACAACAACATATTTAATACGAACACGGATAGTCAAAACGCATCACCATTCATGATTCATCACAAACATCATCATATTCATCATAGTAATCAACACAATATCATATCATCATCATAGTAGTCAATACAACATCATAACATCATCATAGTAATCAACACAACATCATAGAATCGTCATATTAGTCAATACAATATGATAACATCATCATAGTAATCAACATGACATCATGGAATCATCATAGTAGTCAATACAACATCATAACATCATTGTCATAGACAGAGCATCATCATAGGCAAAGCATCATCATAATCAAAGCATCATTGTGATTCAACGTGGGGAACCTAATTCTATTATAAATTAAGCCACAAATATACTCCTTAAGTCTCATTTTTCTCCATATAATTAAATTTCATTGCGTTAGCTATCCAACGCTTTGAACGACACTTCAATCTGAGTTCTAGAACTAAAGTTATGACTTTTTTAAGAAATTCAATTCACCCAACCAAGTCTGCCATCCGTCGCCCGATGACACACTTCCGTCGCATGGAAACACTACCTTCGCGTCAAACTTCTCCCGGCGACGCTTGGAGCAATGAATTACATAAAATTTCATCTTTTCCACCTCTTCCATCGCCCCATCGCTTGCCTGGCGACACAACCTTCGTCGCTCGGTGACACAGCACGAACAGGGTTTTCCTGTTGTGATTTTTGCACTGCGCCAGTCCAATTCTTTTGCGATTTCATCATACTAATCACATGGTTTCATCATCTATCAACATCCTATGATACTACATCAATTCTATATTAATTACAAGTCATTGTTCATTACCAATTCATCAATTCTTCATCAAACAACACCAAATCACCATCTACCAAAACCTAAGGCAATCTACCAATCATCTAAATCTTAAATCAAATATAATAAAAATTATAAAACTCCCCTTATTTAAGATTATAGCAGCAATTTAACTTTTCTTTGTTTCTCTACCGAAATCTCTTGCCTCTTTGTGTCGTAACTTCTTTTCTCCACAACGTCAGTTTCTTTCTCCAAATTCTATGATTGTTCCATAATAATTTTATTTTCCTCTAATTCCTTGTATAACCTTTAAAACCCTAATATCAAACTTCCCACCTTGTACTTACTTATTCTCCACTAATTACCACAATGCTCTTAACCTCTCTACATCATATATTATTCTATTTATTTAAATCCAAATAATTCTAAATAATCACTATTAAATCTAAAATAATTCTAAACTAATTATTTAAATTCTAAACCTTCTTATTAACACATCCTACACCACACAAATCATCATTTTAAACATCCTATTTATCAAGTCATCGTTATTACATCACAGATGCATCACGAATACACATCATATACCGTCACAAGGACTCACACAAAGCACCAAAATATCATATATATCAAATACTTCACAAAGGCTCATATATTCACACTAAATTAATCAATTACATAATTACTATAGAATTTGAGGTGTTACAACTCTCCCCTACTTAAAAGAATTTTCTCCCTCAAAATTTACCTGATGGAAACAACCTCGGGTAAGAC